GTGTTTAGTGTCGCATGATGGAAATCCCTGCCTAATGATTACATAATGAAGTTTAGTTCATTGCGGTCAACTTAAGAGACAAACTTTTAACTAACTAATACTTTATATAAGTCTAAGTTTAATTGTTGAGTGAAAGGTGCAGGCATAAAACTTCCAAGTGGTTAGGTACTTTATAGAAACTGAGCAAGTTAGCCTATGTATTTTATGCCTTTAAGAAGTTCATTTTTTGCCTCAAATAACAATGTTTGATAGAAAAAGTGGTCTTGGTGGATCGAAATAATATATGAACCTTCAAAATTAGAATTCCATCCTGGTTGGGAATGTAACCTATAGAGTATAGTACCTGACACAGTGACACTGACAGACATTGACATACTCATACAGGCTTTTTTGTGTGACATAACAGAACCTACATTAATAGCATAAAGCAAACAACTAACCAGTTACTTGTCTATGTATATGTTGCATATTACTGGTAGAATTAAACAGAAAAGGTGGAAAAATCATCTTTCCTAAATCCTAATTCTTGCGAATATTCTAGCTAGCCTATCTTGAAAAATTTGGTTTGCATCTTTTGCTACTAATGGAATAATCTTCTCACCTTGAGTGTGTAGATTCGTTTTCCATTTGAATCTAAAGTATGCATTAAGTACAACATTGTGAATGTAATTAAGATGCAATGTATTGCTCACTAAAACGCTGTAATATTCAGTACGCTCAGCAAACGTAGCACGACTGCGATTTGTTTTGCTGACCCGATTCTCTCTTCAGAGGTTCAGCCCATTTCGTGTGAGATTCGAAGGAAGGTTGACTGTTATTTAGAAGATCATTATGGAATTCGAGTAGATTGTCAATGTAAAACCACGATAAAGTTTCATCATTCTAGTAAAATATACATTGCAATTCATTTACAAAGGAAGCTCCAAAATTAGAATGTCTACTAGATTACGGTGTGTCGGTTCAATCATATTTGGTGACAACTAGTAGGAACTAGGATGAATGATCATATGATGTGGTATCAAGTTAGCACATAAACAAGAACAAAAAAATAGGTAACATCTCTCAAGTTTTAACCTAAAATTTATTATTTATCGTATCCTCAATTGGCGTGTATCAATGTCTGAAATTTGAGTGTGCAGAAGCAGGTATGACTTTTTTGGCTACTATATAAAGCGAGACTTTCCATGTCCACGATTGCGGCTCATAATCCTACTTTATTGAACAAAAAGGCCTAAAATTTGTTGGGAATCAACTTTTTAATAATTTAATGCTACTATCTAATTCTAATAGAATAGAGGTATCGGCGTTGAAAAAAAGCCCACGACCTATTGCCGATTCATGTACATTTGTGACATGTTCAGAGCTGATCTGGAATTCGGCCTTTTCACCAGATCTTTAACAAACTGATGTTAGTCTGAAATAGGTTTCTTTTTCAAGACTGACTAAACATGTATTCCTGCATTGCTTCGTCTAGTCTCAGTAGTCTGTTCAATAAGTGTTCATGAACGTGTTTTTCTCGCAGCGTTAACGTTATCAGGGAGAGACCGATTCGACACTTCAGCGAACTCGCGTGCGAACTCGCCTGCGAGCTCGAACTTCATTTTCAACTCTGGCACTCATAACTCCTTCAATTATGAACGGATTTTATTCAAATTTGAAATATAAGTAGATAATATCAGTACGCTGCGGAGAGTATTTTTTTTCAAATTTTTTCATCGATAATTTTTTTTAATACGGAAAACCTAACTTAATTTTCAACTCTGGCACGCATAACTCCTTCAATTATGAACGGATTTTATTCAAATTTGAAATATAAGTAGATAATATCAGTACGCTGCGGTGAGTATTTTTTT